GTAACCGCTTTGGAGAAGAGTAAAATCACTACCAATTTAGCAAAAGTATTTTGAGCACTGCTCGTCACTTTTAACATGTTATTATTACGTTATACAGCTCTTGCTTAACACCAATAGCCATTTTATTTTAATTTCATTTCTTGAGGATGTTTCTTTGGTGCCTCACAAGTACACATGGACACACACAAAAAAAAAACACAACTGGGTCCCAGGATGGGTGGGATGTTAAATAGTACTGGCCTTGGATGGACACCATTGTGTGTCTCAACCAAGTACAGCATTTGTATTTTAAGACTGGTGCCTCGCAGAACTTGCCTCGAACAGAAATTTAGCAAGACAGAAATATGGGAAAAAGTACTTGACTCCTATACGGAAGTGACGTTAGGCTGGATAAAGCAAAGTTATTTGTAATCGTTGCAATGCTGAACAGTGTTATCATTGGAGTATTCCGAGTAACAAATATCAAAGCCTGAAACTGGCGGTGGAGTGAAGATATATTGAGTAGGTTCAGTCCATAGACTGCTGGTTGGCAAGACGGTGTGCTTGAGCTGTATTTGTGAGATCCAGTAGACTGTTTGGTCTGATACTCGTGCTTCACTCAAAGACCTAGGAAGTTAGATGTCCAGTTAGATGTCCAGTGACAGTGGGGAGGAAAAACTCCACTTTGGGAAAAAAGCCTCTGGCAGAACCAGGCTCAACATGGCGGTCTCCTACCTGACCGGTTGAGAGATGAGACATGGAATGCAGTAAGAGTATGGGAGGAATTAAACTCTGATGCGGACGAAGTAGAAGAAGCACTGCGGAAAAGTCAGATGAAGCTTTAGCTATGATGGTGGAGAAGACATAATGCAACCACTGCCACCAACCTCTTGTGGATTTGGAGGCCTTTTAAGGTGAACTCTGGATGCTGATTGGGCTTTGTGGAGGTGTGGTTCAAAGCTGACTGTTTTGTGTCGGAGGCAGATAAGGGTTGGTAATTCTGCCGGCTTCCGTAGCCTCGGGATCGCGCATGTGCGCGCTTTCAGGAAATCCTATACACTACTGTTTATGCTCTAAAAACATTCTAAATGACTTTGTTTCGAGTAAATTCTGGA